AAAACTGGACAATGAATAAGGAAGACTGAGGAAGAATTGATGCATTTGAATTGTGGTGTTGATAAAGAATATTGAAAATACCACAGACCATCAAAAGAACTAACAAATCTGTCTTGGAAGAAGACAGAAGTGAGAATGTATAGCCAGATGCTCCTTGGAAGTGAGAATGGCCAGACTTTGTCTTACATACTTTGGTCATGTTGTCAGAAGAGACTAGTCCCTGAAGAACGATGGCACCCTTGGTATAGTAGGTAAGCAAAAATGGGGAAATCCCTCAATGAGACAGACCGACACAGTGGCTCCAAGGTAGGTTCAAGCGTGGCAACAACTATGAGGATGGCGCAGGACTGGACAGTGTTTTGTTCTGTTGTACACAGTGTTGTTTTAAGTTGGAGATGACTTGAAGGCACCTAACAACAACACAACAGTCATGTGAACTAGGAAAAAGCTGGGTTAAAGAAGTTTCTTTGCTATGAACTATTGTAGGGTCATATGTCAAGGTCACTGTGGCTCTCTATAATAGTTTGAGCATTATGATAAAAGTATGGATGAAAATTAATATATTTGAACAAACTTCACGGGAAGTGATTAAATCCCTTTTACCTGAACGTATTATGGGAATGGAGAATATGTCTGACTGGGGAACACTTCTAACTAGCATTGTAAAATCAAAACCTGTTGATGATGGAGCTAGAAGACATGTAAAAAAAAAAAAAAAAAGAAAAAAGAAAAACTCACTGCCATCAAGCCAGATCTGACTCATAGCGACCCCTCCTTGGGTTTCCGAGGTGGTATCACTACAGAAGTGGATTGCCCAATCTTCCTTCCAGGGAGTGGCTGGTGGGTTTGAACCACCAGCTTTCTGGTTAGCAGTCAAATGCCTCAGGCAGTATGCCATGCTGAGTGAAATACGTCAGTTACAGGACAAATACTGTGTAAGCTCACTTCTATATATTTAAAAAAAAAGAAAGAAAGAAAAAATAAAAGTGCAACTGTTTAGAGACCCAGGTTTATCAGCTGTTAATGGGTGGGAGTGAGGGAGAATAGGTTAGGGTAACGGTGATAGAAAAATTGCATTGATTACTGGTAGGGGTATGCAGCCAACTAATATAACTGATGTTGGTAAGTCATACACCTATAAAAAGTTGATCTGGCAAACGTTGTCTGATAGATCTATTGACAAAAAAAAAAAGATTACCTCATTGAGGAAAAAAAAATTGTGTGTAATGTCACTTATTTTATTTGACTAGGACACTTTATTTCTGAAGAGCATCTTGAAGATTTGGGTAATTTATAGATTTATATTAACAGTGAGGAAAATTCAAAACCAAAGTCATATAAGGAGTCACACTGATTAGAATCAACACCCAATAAATTCCTAAAATTTAGAGAAGTGGTTTTCTAACACTTTCTTCATGTTCTACAAAGTACTTTGCCCTTTTTTAAATTGCCATCTAAACATTTTATCAGAAGTTTAAATACTCTCAAAAGATCAATTTTCTTTATACATCTACTCCTCATTTATCAATATGGTTAGGTTACAAAGACCAGGTCATTCTGTGAAAATCACTGTTATGCAAACATAGAGGATGACTACATCACCACACAAGTGCCAAATAACATCACTGCTGTGGTAGTTAAGGTTCTGTGTTAACCTGCCTGGGCCATGGGTTTGAGTGGTTTAGCATGTGGATATAGTTATTACCCATGATAAGACTGTAAGTACCTCCATGGTGGAATCTGCTGTAAACTCCTTATTTGTTGAAAGGGAGCTGCCTTTGCGATACAGCATTCTTCCAGCATATATGACGAAGCTTTGGGAAAGGTCTCTAGCTTTTGGCATATTTTGGATCCTGTGTTTGCCCAAGTCTTTACCTCTAGTTCCAGGACCTGAACCAATGGCCTGCTACATTGTCTGTTGATCTTGGGATTATACCATTTTATCTGCTGATCATGGGTTCATCATCCTCAGCAGCCAGCAGCTGCCTGACTTAGAGGATGCTGTGGGCCTGGAACAACAGGCAGAGCTGAAGTCCACAGCTGAGGGGCCTTCACCCAACCATTAGAGCTGACACTCTGAATTTTTACATTTTGCCTCCTGAACTGTAAGAGAATAAATTTGTTTGTTAAAGCCATCCACCTGTGGTATTTTTGTTATACCAGCACTAGAAAACTAAGACAACTGCCAAACCACTCAGAACCATGGCCTATCCAAGTTGGCACACAACCTTAATCACAACGGCCAGTCTTAGTCTCATCTTGCACCTCAGTGTTCATTACTACTAGACATATGTCATTAATGACTAAAATAGTTGGACAGAATTTTTACTATTCTTTTAAATGAAAAATATCAGATAATGAGATAGTTGATAAGTGAAGAGTAGGTGTATAAGCTTATGTATTTATATATCTGTAAAAACCTTGCTGTTATTGTTATTGTTAGGTGCTGTCAAGTTGGCTCCAACTCATAGCAACCTTATGGAACGAAACACTGCCCGGCCCTGTGCCAGCCTCACCATCCTTGCTATACCTGAGCCCATCATTGTGGCCATTGTGTCAATCCATCTCATTGAGGGCCTTCCCTTTTTTGCTGAACCTCCACTTTACCAAGCATGATATCCTTCTCTAGGGAATGGTCCCTTCTGACAACATGATCAAAGTAAGTGAGACAAAGTCTGGTCATTCTTACTTCCAAGAAGCATTCTAGATGCACTTCATCCAGGACAGATTTGTTCATTCTTTTGGCAGTCCATGGTACTCTCAGTATTCTTAGCCAGCACCACAACTCAAAAGCATCAACTCTTCTTTAGTCTTTCTTGTTCACTGTCCAGCTCTCACATGCATATGAAGTGACTGAAAATACCATGCTTTGGGTTAGGCACACCTTAGTCTTCAAAGAGACATATTTGCTCTTCAGCACTTGAAAGAGGTCTTTGCAGCAGATATGCCCAGTGCAATACGTCATCTGATGTCTTAACTGATGCTTCTACTGGTTTTGATTGTGGAACCAAGTAATATGAAATCTTTAACAACTTCAATCTTCTCTCCATTTATTGTGATGCTGCTTATTGGTTCAGTTGTGAGGATTTTCATTTTCTTTATGTTGAGATGTAACCCATACCACAGACTGAAGTCTTTAATCTTTAATCTTCATCAGTAAATGCTTCAAGTCACCCTCACCTTAAGCAAGCAAAGCTATGTCATCTGCATATCACAGGTTGTTAATGAGTCTTCCTCCAATCCTGATGCCATGTTCTATTTCACACAGCCCAGCTTCTTGGATTATTTGTTCAGCATACAGATTGAATGGGTTTAGCGCACTTAATTTATAGAAATATCCATTATGTAATCTTTGATATTGGCAAAGGCACATTAAAACAGTCATATCAGAGTTACTTTTTCAGAAAAAGTCAGACTTAATTTAATCCAAATAAATGTATTAAATTGTCCCAGTGATACCCTATCACCTATCAATCTTAATTCTTAGGTAGCAGGCAGTACACTTGGAGCTTTGTCATGTATTTATTTGTTGCCCGGGTAACATAAGCTAAGGCCCACCACCAATACTTCTTACAGAAACTCTCCTTGCTTTGCCCTCTAATTCAGGAGCCATGTTTTGCCTCCTTGGTAGCAGAGGGAAGATTTTCACCTCCAGGGGATGGGTGAGATAAGCCTGTCTCAGTAGGAAGGAGGAAAAAAGCAATTGTTAAAGTTAAAACAGAAAAGAAACACTAATAGATCCAGCCATAGGCAACTCAGTTTAGAAAGTTAAGGGTCTGTAAATTGATTCCGTTAAAGCTATCTATGCCTGATACTCCTGGAAAATCTTTACATATAGCCAGATGTTCCTGCTTGATCTAGACATCCCTGGTGATCTAAGCTCTAGAGTGGCTGGTCTAATATATTAATATGCACCATTTAAATTAATTAAAATCAGGTAATATTTAAAATTCAGTTCCTCAGTCGCAACAGTCATATTTTAAGTGCTCAATAGCCACACGTGGCTAGTAGCTACCATATTGGACAGTGCAGAAATAAAACATTTCCATTATTAACTTCACTTGAACACTGTTAGTCTAAAGAATTTAAGTACAAATCCATCTTCCTACTCTTCACTCCTCAGAAGGAAGATTGGGCAATCAATTTCTGTAGTGATCCTGCCTCGGAAACCCAAGAAGGGATGCTATGGGTCAAATCAACTTGATGGCAGTGAGTGTACGGGAGCTCTGGTGGCACAGTGCCTAAGGCATTAGACTGCTAACCAGAAGGCTGGAAATTCAAACCCACCAGCCACTCCTCAGAAGGAAGGATGGGCAATCTACTTCTGTAGTGATACTGCCTCAGAAACCCAAGGAAGGATCGCTATGAGTCGGATCCAACTTGATGGCAGTATTTTTTTTTTGCCTAACGCAAGCTATGGATTTTGAACTGCCAACACATGTAAAAGCAAGACAGTGAATAAGGAAGACCAGAGAAGAATTAATACATTTGAATTACAGTGTTGGTGAAAGAATATTGGATATACCATGGACTGCCAGAAAAATGAAGAGATATGTCTTAGAAGAAGTACAGCCAGAATGTTCCTCAGAAGTGAAAATGCCAAGACTTCTTCTCATGTAGTTTGGACATGTTATCAGGAGGGACCAGTCCCTGGAGAAGGACATCATGCTTGATAAAGTAGAGGGTCAGTGAAAAAGGGGAAGATCCTCAATGAGATGGAATGACACAGTGGCTGCAACAATGGGCTCAAGCATATGAAGGATTGTGAGGATGGTGCAGGACTGGGCAGTATTTTGTTCTGTTGTATATAGGGTTGCAAGTTAGAACCGAATCAATGGCACCTAACAATAAAAACAAGAAATTTTGAACAATCAAACGATAATAAAACTTAGGGTCATCTTTTCTAATGCAAGTAAATTACAAGTTGAGATTAATTATGGAAAACTAGGAGAATTCAAAAGACTAAAATTTTACATTCTAAGTGAAAATAAATTACTTACATGTTGTAATGCTTTCATCGCTTTCAACTGAGGCTCTGCCCAGGAAAAATATCTCAGTAAATCAACCACCTGAAAGCAAAGAACTCATTTAGCTCTAATGACATTTTTTGCAAACATTCCAAAAGATTTATTTCTGGACTTTAAATTATTATTCAAAATGTGCAACCTGGGCTCAGATGGGAGCACTGCCAGAGCATAGCCTGTACCATCTAATTGAGTAGCTACATGTGGCAACTTAAATTTAAATCAATTAAAATTAAATAAAATAAAAAGTTCAGTTCTTGAATGTCAAAAGCCACAATTTATGTGCTCAATTGCTACATGTGCCAGCCAGCTAGCATAAAGGACAGTACAGAGAGAACATTCCTATTATCACAGGAAGTTCTGTTGGACAGCACTCATTTGGAAAGACAAGCAAGTGTAACATAGAGGAAAAAGTACATTCTAATAAGAAAAGGAAGGTTGGAAAAATAGAATATGGATAAAATGTCAGCTCAGGAATAAAAACAAATACAGGCAGTCTCTGGTATTATGAATGAGATCCATTCCTGTCTCTTTAAAGAATCTGTATGTAAGCTGGGGCAAGTACATATGGTTCTTACTTTACTTTAATGGAAGAAAAGGCTCAAAGCTTTTCAATAATTTAAAAGCTGCACGTGCAGCAAGTGAAGGTGAACTGTGACTGAAGATTTTTTTCAGTATGGGTAGGGGTTGGTTCAATCGTTTCAGAATGAGGGCAAAGTTACATAACATTAAAGGGCAAGTTAGAGTTGTCTATGGTACATTCAGGGAGCTCTGGTAGCATAATGCCTAGGCACTTGACTGTTAACCAGAAGGCTGGCAGTTCAAACCCGCCAGCCACTCCTCGGAAGGAAGATAGGGCAATCTACTCCCGTAGTGATACTGCCTCAGAAACCCAAGGAGGGGTAGCTATAAGTTGGGTCCAGCTCGATGGCACATAACAACAACACAACATTCATAACTCAAGGGCTGCCTGTATTATAAACAGGAAAGTTAAAAACACTGATGAAGAGTTACGTATTTTAATCAATTACAAAGCTTGTTCAATGGTATGGTTTTAGTGTATGTCTACCAATTCTAGCCTTTTCCTCGAATCTGGAGGGCATAATACATTCCTATCACAGACCTACTCCTTAAAAATGTTAAGAATCATCATAAGTAAATCCAGCAGCTTCTAAAAGGTGCCTCATGTTGAGACCACAGATAAGCAGGTTCTCACAAGGCTCCCACCACTGCAGAACATCAAACAAATGAGTGAGCACAAAGAGGGAGCCAGAGCACCAAGATTACACCACCCAGCTCTCTGCATGGCTACTGCTGCCCTGGTGCACTGCCTCTAAGGGCAGTCCAGAACAAAAAGGGTCAAGAGGAACCTGGGTTAATTAATTATTTTACTGTGTATTCCTAAATATGTGTTATGGTTTCAATTATTCTACAAAGCATAGTTAATGGTAGAAAATAGATTGGTATGTGAAGACAAGTAACATACTTTTTATTCCTTATACACAGACGTGTAAGTAACAAACAACTATTATATATACTTTTTAGTTTATTCGATAACAGTAAGGAACTCTCATGGCATAGGGGTTAGATCATTCTGCTGCTAACTGAAAAAGGCTGGCGGTTTGAACTCACCAGCTGCTCCGTGAGAGAAAGATGAGGCAGTCTGCCTCCTTCAAGATTTACAGCCTTGGATACCTTATGGGGCAGTTCTACTGTGTCCTATAGAGTTGCTGTGAATCAGCTTAGACTCAATGGCAGTGGGCTTTTATATGTCCTTATCTTTATGAGAATAATGATTTTACTGTATAATAAATGCTACCAACCACAAAATTTTACAAACTATCCTATCCTATATAGGAAAGAAAATCTTCAAGAGAAAGTCTTAAAATGTCATACTTAGAAAGTGGTTTTAATATAGTTTTCAAAGACTTTAGCACAGTGGAATAACCACAAAGAAAAAAAGTTTCTCAGAAATTAAACAAAATAAAAGGTGTTACCAATGGACAATTATAAATTTTTACAAAATAACATTTAAATATTTTAAAAGGTATAAGGTATTTTGAAAGGTAATGGAAGAGCTCTAACCAAACCAAACCCACTGCCATCAAGTCAATTCTGACTCACAGCAACCCTAGAGGACAGAGTAGGGCTTCCAAGGCTGCACATCTTTACAGAAGGAAACTGCCTCATCTTTCTCCCACACAGCAGCTGATGGGGTCGGGTTCAGAATGCCAAACTTTTGGTTGGCAGCTGAATGCCTTAACCATTGCACCACCAGACTCCAGAACTGCTAAAAAGCACTTATTAAGCAGGTAGCAACAAGTGAAATCATCATTAGCTTTTAGGAATTTAGCAAGTATAACTATTAAGGCTTAAAGTTATTCAAGCTTTCAAGTTTTGAAGTTCTTGAGAAATAGAAAACTCGGCGCATTTATTAGCTCAATCTATACATTCATCCACTGTCCACCCTTTCCCAAAAAACTGTTCTCCAGATTCACATTTCAACTTCTGCCTGATTTCTCTACCAAGTATTTTCCAAGTGGCCCTTAGAAGTCCTGTTTTCCCTCAACCCCTAACATGTATATATGTGTGTATACACACACACACACACATATATATATACACACACACACACATATATTTTTTAACTTAGCCAACCCTCTGCCCTCAAGTTGATTCTGACTCAGTGACCCTATAGGACAGAGTAGAACTACCCCATAGGGTTTCCAAGGCTGTAATCTTTATGGAAGCAGGCTGCCTCATCTTCTCTTCCAGAGCAGCTGCTGGGTTTGAATACCCAATCTTTTGATTAGCAGCTGAGTGCTTAACTACTGTGCCACCAGGACTATTTAAATTAGCAAACTCTCCCTACAATAGGTAAGAGTTTTCAATAAACTACCATGCTTAAAAACATTAGACTTCTACTTTTATATTATGTAGCAAATTTTGTAATTGCTGTGTTATAAATATTGTACACATTTGGTAATTTGATCACCAAAAATATAAAATTTCTTAAAATGATAAATACTTTGAACTTTTTTTTAATAAAGAGATACTGTATTTTAAAATTATGTTAGCGTATCATAGTATAGTGCCAGTGGGTATAAAATATGCCTGAATTTATAAAGTTTTCTGCTAAAATGGAAAGCTTTTAAAGTTCCTGAATTAATACACCAACAAAACGAAAACAATTCTGAATGTCACCAGCAGGGAAACATATTAAGCAGAACACTGGTGTAAAAAGAAGGCTTTTGCTTAAACAAATGATGAGAAATACCTGTTCACTAGAGAAGTATCCATGCACATACTCAATTGCTTTTAATTTGTACTCTGTCAAAACAGCCTAAAAAACACAAAAAACAATATTAATGTATGTAAACAGAACAGTAATATGCCGATATCAAAACTGCTTAAGCACAGTAAAAAGAATGGCAGACTTCCCTCAGCCATGGTCCCCAGAGGCAGAAAAGGTCAATGTGGTGACAGGATATTCTACCCCTACAGATTCCATATTGTAATGGAAATATGGTGAGAGCAGGAAGACCTTCTGGGCCTATCTACTGACTCCTCATAAAGATAGGAAATAAAGTTATAATAGATAAGATTCTATATTACTAGAAATTACATTTACAGTTCTTATAAGGAAAGATTTTCAAAACATCACACACTCAACCAAACTGGGATTTTTGATATGTATCTGATAATACTCATTCGTCAGACAATTATTTATTGAGCATCTATTATGCGCTAAGTGCAGTTGTTAAGTTCTGGGCTGCTAAAAGAAAGAAAAGTGGTTTGAACCCACAAGCTACTCTGCAGGAGAAAGATGACGCAGTTTGCTTCTATAAAGATTGACAGCCTTGAATGCTTTGGAGCAGTTCTCCTCTGTCCTACAGGATCATTATAAGTCAGAATCAACTCTACGGCAAGGGTTTGGTTTGGAGTAGAGGCTCTAGTGCTTCTACAGAGATATGAGAACCCAAGGGCTCTAAATTCACCCCCCATACCTTTCACTGAGACCATGCCCTTTGAAATATTTTAATTACCATGAGAGTGTAAAAGGGAACACCATTTGCCACCTACCTCAAAGAGTTACTGTGAGGATTAAAGTATTTAACATTAGAATTGGCACACAATAGATATTCAGTCAATGTTGGCTCCTTTCCTCATATGGAATCTATCGATCACTTAGAAGTTGAGAGAGCAGTTGGAAGACTTAACCCTGCACTAGGCAGAGCTGACTGAAATCATACATGCAGGTATGTGCTGAGCTTACAGATGAATACACCAGGCTATGATAAAGTTGGTAGCCACTAATAATAAAAAAGGAGCTCTGGTGGTGCAGAGCCTAAGGCGTATGACTGCTAACCAGCAGGCTGTCAGTTCAAACCCACCAGCTGCTCCATGGAAGGAAGATGTGGCAATCTACTTCTGTAAAAGACTGACCACTGCAGAAACCCAACGGGGGTTGCTATGAGTCAGAATAAACTTGATGGCAGCGTTTTTTTTTTTTTTTTAACAATTAAAAACAACTAATCCCTTTGCTTTTACTATAAAATAATTTTAATAGTTGTACTATCCACACCTATTGTCCTGCAAGAAGAAAATCTATGACCAGTCAACTGAAACATTTAGGGTGCTCAGTAGTTCATATGTCACTGAAAATGGAAAATAATAGTATCATTCTAGATAATGTACTCTTGGGAGTTTGACTATGTTGGACACAAGTCAAAAGCAAGTTTCTAGGACAAATCCTAGACCATGGTGACCTCCCCCCAAGTCCCGATCCAATGCTCTCATCAATGCCTGAGAGGCTTAGCTGTTCCCCAGGCACAGCAGCATTAAGCTCTGGAGTCCGAATGCCTGGGCTTGAAAACTGGACTCTCACCAGCTGAGTAACCTCGAGCAGAGACTAGGTATGCCATCTGTTGTTGTTGTTATGTTATGTGCCATCAAGTCGGACCAAACTCATACCAACCCCTCCTTGGGTTTCCGAGGCAGTATCACTATGGAAGTAGATTGCCCCATCTTCCTTCCAAGGAGTGGCTGGTGGGTTTGAACTGCTAGCCTTCCGGTTAGCAGTCAAGTGCCTTAGGCACTATGCTACCAGAGCTCCCATGCCATCTGTAAAATGAAGCAAACAGTATCTACTTCACCGAGGTTTTAGAGGATCAAATCAAACAATGATGGAGAAAAGATTAATGGCTATTATTATTACTTCCTTTTTTGCAAAGCAAATTTAACACAGATTTTACCCCTCCTTTCTTCCTCCCACCAGTTTTCTATTTTCTTAGTATCTTCTATGTGCCTCTGTTTTAAATCTGCCAGTTATGAATGACAGCCCCAGTATTACCTCCCAACCTACGCTGACACTCAAGAAGAGGTAATACCTGGTTTAAACTGTCCCAATTTACAAAGTCTCGGAGCCATTTTTTTTTCAAACCAACAGTAATCCCCATATTTTGATATGCCTATATTTTCATTCTATTTTTAACAAAGAATGTTGATGCATCTAATCATTGGGCATAGAGAGCAAAGGACATAATTTGATTGCACAACAGAAATAAAGACTTACTTTGCCATATAATGTGAACAGCATTTTCATCTCTGGAACATTTCCTATTCCCTTTGTTAATATTTATATATTTTCACAATACTTATAAGAGAATAAGCAAACACTCTGTACCTTCCAAAAGTAGCAATCTACTGATCTATCTTAACCCACAAATTTTTTTTTTATCATATATAATAGTTAAAAATCAGTTTATGAACAATGTGTGGCAAATTCTAACTTGTTACCAAATTGACATTTTACTGCCTATCGTAATTCAACCAGTTGGGTTCGTGAAAGCAAAAATTTTGTTCAAAGGAGAATCACTCTATCAAGTACATGAATTTAACCTAACACACAAATTTGGGGAAAGAAAGCTCTATAAAGGATGAAAAACAGATTTATAAAAGAAAGCTTTATAAACAATAAAGAAAACAGCAAATTCAGACACAATTTTAGAAATAACTTCACAAGTTGAAATAAATAAGCAACAGAGGACACTGTAACAATTCCTTCCCTGTACATCAAGGGTCTTAAAGATCCGTGAATCAAAAATTGCCTGGAGGCCTAATCAAAGCACCTTGAGTTCATAACTGTTGTATAGCTTCTCCTCTAAATAGGTAACCTCTTATTTTTGCACTTCAGAGACTGGTACAATGCTACAATTCAAAAATTATTTTACATCTTGAAAGTAGCAAAAGAAAAGAAGCTGTCTGGCTCCTTTTGTAAGGTTGTTGTTATGTGCTTTGGAGTCAGACCCGACTCATAGCGACCCCTCCTTGGGTTTCCGAGGGGGTATCACTACGGAAGTAGATTGCCCCATCTTCCTTCCGAAGAGTGGCTGGTGGGTTTGAACCGCCAGCCTCTGGTTAGCAGTCAAGTGCCTTAGGCACTACGGTACCAGAGCTCCCTCCCTTTTGTAAGGTTGTTGTTGTTTGCCACGGAATCGGCCCCGACTCATAGCGACCCCTCCTTGGGTTTCCGAGGCAGTATCACTACCGAAGTAGGACTGCTCAACCTTCCTTCCGAGGAGTGGCTGGTGGGTTTGAACCGCCAGCCTTCTGGTGAGCAGTCAAGTGCCTTAGGCACTATGCTACCAGAGCTCCTTTGTAAGGTAGGTTACATATAATTACCTCAGAAAGCAGCAAACCCTTGGAAAGCTGGAGGAGAGGGCGGTTGAAATTCAAATTATTGAGATATTCCTAGGAACGTGACTTTAAACTTAAGCCACTTTCTTAGGATACAATTTTCTTCGGCCCAGGTAACAAATAGAAAAATCTATGCCATAATCAAGATTACCATTTAAGAAACTTTTTATACATATTTTCTCTAATTTTCAATCACTATTGTATGACAGATGAGGTACAAAGCTCAAAATATTAAATGACTTAATCAAAAACACAGTGCTGTTAAGGATTTGCAGAGCAGGCTTCAGAACCGAGGACTATCTGACTATAATTTCCGCGATACTGCACTTATTTTAAGACATTTAAGCGTCAACATAGTTTTGTTTCTATTTGTATCATGAAAAGTATCAAGATACAAACTCCTACACTACTTGTCCAAATTCAAACTGATTTTGCAATTCTAGGACTCTCATTTCGTGCAATCTACAGAGAATACCTAAAAAATAAGAAAGCACAAAACTTCGTTAACTCTTAGAATAATTTAAGGAATCAAGTGTAAATACCTTTCTAATTTCATCCAGCACCGTTTCAAAGGACTTTTTGTCCATCTTGACTGTTATTTCGACGTGGTTTTAACAGTTATACTTTCAATTACAAAACGTTCATTCTCAGTCTGCTCCGTTGACTGTAAAAATATTTATAGTTGAGGAGAAAAAGGATTTCAGAGGGTGAAAGGATGGGAAGACGTAAGGGACACTGCAAACTCCGCAGAAACGGCTGAAAACAAAGACTTGGAAAAAGTTTTTATTAGAACAAAAACCACTCGCTTCGGGCTTCTTCAATTTCTTACACAAAGCTTCAGGGCACCTGGAACTAGAGCTGGGTCTTCTCAGAGTCCGCAGAGAACCCTGGGGGTTCTGAGCTTCGGTCCCTGCAGGTGAAAGCGAGGCGCCACCGGGGAAAGGTTGTGAAGCCTCCCTCCCGGGTGGAGCGGCCGGGAAAGATGCGGCACCCGCGCCCGGAAGGAAGAAGGCACCAGCCTCTAGGTTCGCACCTGCGTCTGGGCCGCGCCCCTCACCTCCGAGAGCCCCGACTCATGGCCTGTCAAGGTTAACCCCCAGCCGCTCAGGCGACTCCTCGGTCCCGTAGCCTAGGCAGCTGTGGCCCGGCGGGCTCTTTGTTACCAGCTGCCGCGGCTTCCGGGAGCGGGCCGGCGGCCGAAGAGAACCGGGAGCCGGGCTTAGGGGGGCACGGCCTGGGCTAGGGGGACTCCCGAAGACCGCAGCAACAATACAGTCAGGCGCCCTGCCAGGGCACCCCTATAACCCCCACCCGGTCATGGGGGCCTTCTACGACACTCGTCGCGCCCGACTAACTCAACTCTGCGCCGCCAGCTTGAGCCGCTCATTCCTGAAAGCCCATGGAGGGGGTCCTAGTGTGGGAACATAGGCGTCCACAGCGGGTGCCAGGAACCCTCGGAATCGGCACGGCTTAATTCTTTCTTAGATCCCGGTAGTCATTTTTGAGTTACGACTCGCCTTATGCCTCAGATTTACATGTGCGTTTGTTTTGATTGTTGAACTGAATTAAAAACGATGAATGGCGAGTGGCTAAGGCATATCTGAGAGTGCTCTCACATTGAGTGAAAGAAGTCCAAGCTGTAGACCGCCCCTAGGGGTGGGGAAGGGTGGTCACGGTGTCAGCCTGAGGCGCCTGACTTGGGGCGGTATCCGGAAATGCGCCGGAGTTCTGAACCGGTTTTCTCGGACTTTCTTTCGCCTCGGTCTATGCTCTATTCGTAGCATCTCCAAGGAGCGGATATTGGAGATCGGGACTTCGGCCGGAGTTTGAGACTTCCTGGCCGCGCTCTCGCCGCGGGCCTGCCCTGTTTCTCGTCTCCTCATGGCGAAATTCTGGGTTTGCGCGACTGGCGCCGGCTGCTTTCTGGCGCTGCTGATTTTTCATTCATGTTTTTGTGACTTTCCGGTGAGTTGCGTCTGTTGGGTTGTGAGGACGGCACTGTTGGGAAGTGACGATACGTCATGGGATGTGAGGAGTGGGCTGGAGATAGCGGGACCTTGTCGTTTAGAGTTAGAAAGTTCGTGTATGGTATATCATCATGTTCTTCCTCTTTTTCCTCCATTCGCACGGCATCCCTAAATTTTTTAAGACCTGTGTTGTGGTAGTTTTAATCTTTAAACATATGAGCCCGTTTCCTTGAAATGATTTACAGCCCAGCAAATCTGTCAAAGCATGCGTAAAAATAAGTCGTCGTCGTATTCTTTTTTAATCTAGAAACTGAATCCTAATTTTGTTTGTTATTTAAGATTTTAAGAAACTTTGTGTTTCAAATTTCCTGGACAACTGAGAATACTTTGTACCGACTGGATGTGGGTTGGCCTAAGTATTCAGAATATTTTACTGGAACAACATTTTGTGTTGCAGTTGATTCCCTCAACGGCTTGGTTTATGTAGCACAAGTAAGTAAAAATGAGGTTTTTCTTTCAATTACGAACACAAAGAACACAGTCTTCCTCATGGAGCCATATGTTTGTATTATGCAAGTTGTAGAATTTGTCTTCACAGAATCATTTTTTAAATGTGATACTTTTAGGTTTTGAGGTTTGTTTTTATCAAGTTACTAAAATTATGTATTAACCTTTAATTTTTTTCTTTCTCTATGCCAAAATAAAGATAACTTTTATTTAAAATTGATCCTAAGCAGTTACTCTTGTATACCTTCAGAGAGGGGATAACATCTCAAAGGTATTAGTATTCACAGAGGACGGATATTTCCTACGAGCCTGGAATTATACAGTTGACACACCACATGGTATGTTTGCAGCCAGTACATCACATGAACAATCTGTCTGGATCACGGATGTAGGAAGTGGTATGTGTCGTAATATTTACTCCATTATGTTGCTAAAAATCACATCTTTGCCCATGTTTTAAATTAGAGTTGCTATATCTAATCTTAATTTCTCCAATGATTCATGAAATCACTTGTTTCCAAAAATCTTTATTTTGCCCTCTACAGAATCAAGAGGTTTAAAAAGAAGGCAATAGTTAGTTTTTCTCTGTTTGTCAAAGAACTTCTCTGCTTTAAATGATCAGTTGTTTTTCTCAGATTAAATAACTCTAAACCGTTCCGTGAACACAGATTAAAATGGTAGTCTCTAAAACTGAATGAACGAGTAGAATCCTTACTTCTACAATTCTGTTTCAAAAGACATTTTGCTAAGAAACTCTAAATTCCTTTATTGCCCAAAGTACAAAGATTTGTAGAAACTGGTGTCAGTATTTCTGAAATCTCACTAACTGCAGCATATCTGAAATCTTTGTGCCTTCAAATATTTTTAGTAGAATATGCTGAAAAGCAAAGTAAGCGCAATTTGATTTACTGTTATGGGGAAAGTCTGCAGAGAAAGCAGTTTACATGTGTTCATGACTTTGCACAAGGCAGTATCAGAGATAGCTTGGCATTTACCTTAGGACCTTAGGAATGGTATCACTTAGATAAAATTTCTAATAATCCTTAACCCAGTTAAATTTACAATCGAAGGGAATATGTTTCTTCATTCCTGCCTAATTTAGATTAAAAAAAAAAATTAACCAGGTGTCAGTTGTTGTAAGTAGTGCCTTTATCACATTTGTTCTCAGAACCCGAAAGATTTTCGAGCCTCAGCTGATGACCCATTTATTTCAACCTGTTTCAAATGTTAAGATTCTCGTTAAACCAAAACTATAGGTTATCTCTGAACTCACTGTAATGAGATTTGACCATTTTCACATTTTTTTCCCCCAGTGGAGTCTACTTCTAAAGGCCTTTACTTCTTAATTTATTCTAACCATGCCCTTTTTTTTTTTAGTTCTCTGAATTACAGAAATGGATGATATCATTCTTTCCATTACAGATTTTCTTCCCACCTACAGATCTGAAGACAGTTTTTATATTATTTTCCATTTTTCGAAGAATAAATTCCCTCCAATAGAATTATAGCTGCAAATTAGCCATTTAAATTTTTTTTTTTTTTTAACTGGTATTCTATCCCTTTTGCTAATTCTTTGGAAACTTTGAGGTTTTCTTTCTTTAATAATATGTTCTTTTACTGTTCTACCTGTTATGCAGACATTAGCTCAAGCCACCAAACGAAGCATATTAATAAATACATTTTTCAAGATAGAGCTGTCATACAAGCTAATTTTACCGTAAGTGAGTTCACATCATATGCCTGTTGCCATCAAGTCAATTCCAACATACAGTGACCCTATGGGTCAGAGTAGAATTACCACATAGGGTTTCCAAAGCTGGATTGTGAGGATGGCACAGGGCAGGGCAGTGGTATATTCTGTTGTACATAAGGTCACTATGTGTTGGAATCGATTCAACGGCAACAACAGCAATCTTTAGGGAGAACAGACTGCCACATCTTTCTCCTATGGAACGGCTGATAGGTTTGAACTGCCGACCTTTACATTAGCAGCCGAGAGCTTAATCTCTGCACAACCAAGGCTCTTTATGTAAACTCGGACTCTCTGATTTGCCTTTTGAACACCTACCAATTAGTAATTTGCTCTTCTATTTCTTCAAGTTGATTTCCACAGACTACTTAAGGTTTTTCCCTATTTGTTGGTATTCTACTTTCTGGTTTTGTTTGTGAGACAATTTTAACTCAACAAAATTTTAATGTAACTGAGAAAATAAGATACTAGTGATATGGAAAGATTATTTCCTTCTTAGGAAAGAAAACTTAGTTGAATTTTTAGTTTGTTTTCATTAGGAGAAGATATAATTGAAAACCATCTGTATTGTAGAGAATGTTTTCATGACATACTGCAATTTGTAATCTGTATACAAATGACTGAAATGACAGTTTTCAAATATGAGTTATTCTTGAATTTCTTTTATACACAATGCTTATAGGGTCTCAAATTCAAGAAGAAAATGATGCAACAATAATCTGTTAACATCGCTAGCTTTCTGTATAATGAGCCTATTTGAATTTGAAGTCCACTTATTTTGGAATAGCTAACGTTTAAAGTCGGGCAAATTTGCCTAAAACTAAAGAAGAACCTCTATTGTTTATTAAATGTGATATTTAGTTATCTGAGCCTATTAATCATTTATTACTGTTTAATTCTATAAAACTTTTATTATTTGAATAATATGGATATTTATACAGTGATTATATTTGTGGATGTCTGTCTTTACAGGATTCTATGGTCATACTGTTAAAAAATACAATTTATTTGGTGATCTTGTTCAAGTCTTGGGTACCCCAGGCAAAAAAGGCACTGATTTGAATCCCCTGCAGTTTGATAACCCTGCAGAATTATATGTTGAGGACACAGGAGATATTTACATTGTGGATGGAGATGGAGGATTGAATAACAGATTGTTCAAGCTATCCCAAGGTACATGGCTTAATTTGTGTATTTTAAGACTACTGTAAGTTGAATTTGGGAGCTCTGGTAGCGTAGTGTCTAAGGCATTTGACTGCTAACCAGAAGGCTAGTGGTTCAAACCCAGCAGCCACTCCTCGGAAGGAAGGTTGGGCAGTCTACTTCAGTAGTGATACTGCCTTAGAAACCCAAGGTGGGGTTGCTGTGAGTCCGGTCCGACTCAATGACACGTAACAACAATAACAACATAAATTGAATTTAAGGAACTCTGTTAGCACAGTGACTAAGACATCTGACTGCTAACCAGAAGGTTGGTGGTTTAAGCCCACCAGCCCCTCCACGGTTGCAAGACTGGGCGATTTATTTCTGTAAAGATTTACTACCTTGGAAACCCAATGGGGTCGTTATGAATTGGAATCAACTTAGTGGCATTGGGCTTAGTTTTTTCAGTTTATAAGTTGAATTTAAGGAGCTCTGGAGGCGTAGTGAGTTAAGCATTTGCTTGCTAACCAGAAGGTCAGCAGTCCAAATCTACCAGCCGCTCCGCTAAAGGAACATGGAATGATCTACTTCTGTAAAAATTTACAGCCTCAGAAACCCATTGGGGGTTGTTATGAATCAGAATCCGCTCAATGTTAGTGAGTTTGGTTTTTTGGTTTATAAGTCAAATTTATAATGTAAAACAAACTGTGCTTTGTGAACTTGCACCTAAAGCACAATAATGAAGAACAACAACAACAAAAAAAAGCGTAAATAGCCAGTGCTCAAAAAATGCATGTTTAAATACCTCAAAGATTTCAGTCTATTTCTATAAAGAGTAGACCTGGTACATATGTGAATGTGTCCATATATTTTTCCTCCAGAAGAGCTTTAACTCTGAATTATCTTTGGATAAAGAGAATGAAATCTGAATATCACTATGGTACGGGAGCTCTGGTAGCATAGTGGCTAAGACACTTGCCTGCTAACCAGACGGCTGGCGGTTCAAACCCACCAGCCACTCCTCGGAAGGAAGG